GACCGTTATAGAAAGAGGTGGGGAGAAAATGTTTTCTAATAGATTTCTCTAAAAATAAATAGAGGGTTTAAAACGTCGCTGAAACAGCGTTTTAACTTCATTGCGATTCTCCGACAGAAGACGCAGGCGGGGAGACATCCGGATTCCGGAGGTTTGATCGGAGATCCGAGAAAGCAATGGATCAGGAGGTGGCAAACCGGAGCGGTGCTCGCTCTTCGCCGGACCCAAACCCATGTCCAATCTGCCTCTCGCCAACGGCGCGAGAGTCTTACCTCGATACACGTTTTCGTCCGTCAACTCGGGATTATTTTTCTATGAATTCTGCATTTATGTTCTTTTGGATACCTAAATCCAAGCAAAAATTTGAATTTTTTTAATTATGAATATAAACGGATTGTAGATAAATATGGGTTGCATACAATTTGAAGTCTGATGATGTTAAGAGCCTTGGCTTCATGTACCACCAAAAGTAATTCTAATGCCAGGATTTTCTAGCTAGATGTAGAAGTGGGTCTCTTTAATTCCATATAATAATGTTCAACTGGAGAAGATATGGGATTCAGGTATACTTTGTAGGATTGGAAATACTAAGCTAAATTTACAAACTTTGAACTGTTTTTTTCTGCTTGCTGGAAATTTCACGCTGAAAGGTATTTGGCTGGATGTGGATTCTATGCACTCTTTGCAATGTTCACTGTCTAGTGAAAACAAACTCTATCTTCTGCTTCTTAATTTGGTATACATTTTTAGATGCTTTTACCTGTCCTTTGGAATTCAATTGTATTGTATAATGGACTAAAGTTGTTGCTGGAAGACATTCTTCCCCGTCTTCCTCTGTGAAATGTCCTCTATGCAAGGTTTGTTTTATTCGAATCAGTCTTCTGAGTTTTTTTTTTTTTTTCCACACTAAAGCAATTCCTTTTAATTGAGGAGTTTGGAAAAAGTCCTAAAATTTGCTTTAGTTGTGTTGTAGGCATGATACTCGGTCTGTTTCAAATGTAAAATTTGTGTTGATGGTGCTATGCCTGACATATTTGCAGACAGAAAACTTTTCAATCATCAGCGGATATGATGGAAGTTTCTTTGAGAGACATTACATAAAAAAGATTTTTGGGGACAGGTATTTTAGTTTGTTAAGTTCTTCACTCGAGTTTTATTTCAGGGTATAAATTCCGTTGTTAATACTACCTCTTATTATGTTTATGCAGTTTAACTTTTAACTTTACAAAAGCACGCAAGTATAGATTACAATGCTATTACACTGAACCAGGTTTGGTACTGTTGCTCTTTGGGTCATTTTTACTTTTGCTTTTCTTTTCATTTCTCCTAACAAAATCACTGCTACCTCTACTGTCAATTATGTTTTCATTCAGGTATTCTAAGTGACATATTTAACCTATCTCAATATTGGAAATTATGAAAATATCTTCAGTCAAACGTCTGGCTTCATTGTTGGTTGAAAAGGGAAATTCAAGCTCTAATGCAGGTTTGTATGTGCATCAGTCGGGTTTCCTTTGGGTTTGCTGCCTTATGCATGTTTGAAATGCCACTCTACTTGTATTCTTTATTCACTTTCACTCATTTCTGGATAAGTAACTTCCTTTCATGCTTAATCACAGGAAGAAAATGTTGACATCATTGTTCATCACATACATGGCGTGATTGGTTCATTCTTCAAAAGGTAATATTTATTACTAATTTCTCAAATTGCTTCAGCAATTGAATGCCTTATCTTTTGAGTTCCTTGACTATACATTTCAAATGAGTCCACTGAAGTTTAATTTCTCCCTTAATTATTAATTTAATTATTAATTATTGTATCTAAGTTTTACTGTCATTATATACCATTATAAGGCTTCATTTGTTAATATTTCACAAAGTTTGTTTTCCACAACACATTATTTTAAAATATAAGTTAATAATTCTTAGTAAGTTTTAGTTAATTTTTTATATAGTACATTTTTATTAGTTTTAATTAATATTAATAAATTAAAATGAACTAAACACTTTCCTTCACCAATAATTAAAATACTTTTTTGAAAAACAATGTAACATATCAACCAAGCACCGATCTTCAACTTAATAATCAACCAAGTCTTAAAGCGCATGATAAACTTAAATTTGCAAGATGGAGGAAGGCTTAGAGGGCATCATCACCATTCTCGATTTTTTCTTCCTTCTTTTTTAAAATTTCAGTATTCTCTAGCTTCTACTTAAGTATATCACAATTTAAATAAGTTTTTCAATAAAAAAAAAAAAACAGACTTCTTTTTTATTAAAAAAGACATACTTTTTTATTCTCTTTTAATTTCTATTCAATTACTTAAACCACATTTAATATAATGTTCTTATTATGTATCTATTGAATTTTAAATTGATAGACTCAAAAAAAGGTGTTAACAAATTTTTTTTTCTTATATATATATATATATAACTATTTTACAGCTTCATTAGGGGTAACAAAAAATCGAAACAACATTGCTTAAAAATAAAGAGGTAATGCATTGTAATATATCACAACAACACAAACAACAATACAACTATAAGGAAAACTACATAAGATTTTCAAAAAATCTACTCCCATAATCACAGACTTTCCACCACATCTCATCCAGAAACTGATAGTATGAATGCCTCCATTGCCTACTAATCACAAGAGGAATCAGTAGACTCCAAAATCCAAAAATAAATCCAAGTGCCATGCTAACAAACAACCAATTCACTTTAACTCCATCCATATCTTTCCTCCCATTATTTCCAATGCCAGGTACCACATGATTAACTTCATTGCATTTATTTGCAAGTGGAAGGCCACAAAGTTCATTTCCAACATAGCAAGATGCATCAAAGCTTTGTAATTGAGTACTTGAAGGAATTTTTCCAGTCAGTTGATTGTCAGACAAGTTCAAGTGGCTTAGAAATGACAATCTAGACATGCTTTCAGGGATTGGCCCTAGCAATTTGTTTACAGAAAGATCAAGAGATTCTAGTGAACTCATGTCGCCAATACATGGAGGGATCCTTTTGGTGAAAAGGTTGTGTGATAAATTTAGTGATTGCAACCCCTGAAGCCTAGTTATTTCCCAAGGAATACCTTCAGATAAACTATTATCTGACAAATCAAGGACTCTTACCAAATTAAGAGTATTGCCATATTCATAATACTGGCCTTTCATCATAAGAAATACACTCTCAATAAAAAGCAATGGTGAGTAAATTGATGGTGAGTTATATGAAATGTACTTCTCAGATGAGCCATTTACAAAATAAACCATGGCACTTAAGTTACTAATGCAACTTGGTAAGCTCCCTGAAAGATTATTATGAGCGACATCCAAGACATGGAGAGAATTGAGTGCACACAACTCTCTAGGTATATGCCCTGAAAACTTGTTTGAACGAAGGCTCAAAATTGCCAGGTATGGAAAATAATGACCCAACCATGATGGGATATTCCCAACCAATGCATTTTCACCAAAATCAAGGCTCTGCAAAGCTGTACAATTCCTTATGGACAAAGGAATTTCTCCTGAGAAGTTGTTTTTACGAAGATACAAGAATTCAAGGAATTGCAAAGTTCCTATGGAACTCGGAATTTCACCTGTAAAGCTATTGTTATCCAATACAATGACCCCTAAATTTGGACACTTGGACCAACAATTTGGTAACTCCCCAGACAAAAAATTGTTGCCAAGATTGAGAATATACATTTGATTCATTGTTTCATTGGCCTCAAGACACAAAAAGTTAAAAAGGGAACCTGACAAAAGATTATTAGAAAGGTCTAAGTAACTCAAACTTGAGAAGATCTGAGATAATGGATCATTGAAGCTAGAAATATTAGGAAGTATCCCATGAATTTGATTGTGAGCAAGATTTAGAAATTTCAAATGAGGAGACAAGTCCAAAAAACAACTAGGGAGAATACATGAGATTCCAGAGTTGGATAGATCTAAGTATTTAAGGTGTCTTTGAGAAGCAAGCCAATATGGAAATTGTGGTCCTAAATTCCAAGATCTTAATTCTAAGAGTTGAATTTGAAAAGGAGGAATCCAACCAGGATCTACCTTCAAAATCAATGGGTTCTCATTTGCGATTAAAACTAACAATTTTGTGAGGTTAAAAAAGTGTTTCTCAGAAAGAGTACCCTTTAAAAAATTATTTGATATATAAACAACTTCTAAATTGGAAAGGTGACCAAATGACTCAGGAAGGTTTCCTTTGATTTGGTTTTGAGAGAGAGATAAATATTTTAAGGATGAAAGCTCTCCTATGGATATTGGAATTGAACCAGAGATTGAGTTAGATGACAAAATCAACTCTCTCAAATTTTTAAAATTTCCTAGCTGGTTGGTTAATTGTCCATAAAGTCGACAATCATCCAAGGACAATGACTCTAATTTATTAGAAACACACATAGAAAAGACTTCTAAGACATTTGATATGTCTAGACTCAAATTGACACTTGAGAAGGAGAGTGACCTCAAGCTGCAAAGATTTCCTATTGACCTAATTGGGATTTGACCTTCAAACTTGTTCAAGGATAAGTCAAGGTCAACAACAAAGTTCATCTTTCCTATGTTATTTGATATTTCACCTTGCATGTAATTAGACCCAAGATTTAAAGACTCAAGAGGAGCAAAAGTGTATAGCCAATCAGGTATTGAGGAATTGAAATGATTTTGTGACAAATCAAGTTGTTTCAACAAAGTCAAATTTTGAAGACCATTAGGGATTGACCCTTCAATAAAATTTCCCAATAGATCAAGGGAAATCAAATTCTTGAGACTAAAAACCCAATTGATCACTGAAAAGTTTTGGAAAGAATTCTGAGATAAAGAAAGGGCAACAAGAGATGATATATTTAAACTTGCAATGGGATGGAGATGATGTTGGGAAAGTTGACAGTATGACAAGTGTAATTCTACCAAGGAAGGAAGTGTATTTAGTGCATGAAACCAATTGGAGGCTTGGCCAAGGTTCACAGAACTCAAATCAAGGTACTCCAATGAAGAAAGACTAGACAACCAGTGGAGATTCTTAACATGCATGGTGGACCCATAATAATAATTATCCCTAAGATTGAGATATTTCAGATTGGAGAGATTCCCAAGATGGTGAGGAACCTCCCCTCCAAAATTTGCATTGGAGAGGTTAAGGAAACTTAAACTCCCCAAAGAACCAAAAAACTTGGGAATGCGAATTCCTCCAAAATCATTGTTGCTGAGGTCCAAATAACTCAACTGCTTCAAATGGAGCAAAGAAGGACTTATCTTACCACCTAGCCTTGATCTCTCATAAGCCTCATCAGCTTCCTGATCATACGCATAATAATCGACCTCCAATGGAGTAGTTCTGAGGTTGAGTTCAATGACATGACTAGTCATGTTGTCGCAGACAATTCCAGTCCATTTGCAACAATCTCCATTAGAAAGCCAAGAGGCCAGTCTGTTGGAGTTATCTACAATACCTTGCTTGAACTTCAAAAGTGCTTCTTTCTCGCTCTCAATGCAGACCGCATGAACAGAGTTGCCATTGCAAATGCTAATAATGGTAACATTAGTGATTAGAATGAGAAAGGCAAGGAAATGAAAGATAAGCCGAGCCATTGAATTTTGAATCGGAAAGCAATTAATTTTTATGGAAATCCAGGAGAGGCAAGGTGGTGTATTTATAGATGTCATTTTCCCAAAAATTGCAATACTACTCCCTCTATTCCATTATATTTTGACATTTAGGGAGGGGGATTTGTTCCGTATCATATGTTGTTTTTCGAAATTCAATATTTCATTAATGCTCTTTTTCCACTTTTACCCTCCACTAACCCAACTGAATGACACAATCACCCCACCAGGTTAACCCTTCAGTTTCCTTTTCTCCTTCCTTTTCTCCTCTAACAAAGAACCCCGATCTAAACAACTTCTCAAATGCAAAATGTTTCCAAAGGACATGTAAGAATTACCTGCAGATGGGTACATCATATCTCCATTCTTAACCATCTCCAAAGCCATACCCATATAAGCCCCCCAAATTCTTCGATTATGCTCCACTTATCATGGATATAATTGCCAGCCTTCATCCATATCATTTATGGCTCTAGATAAGATTATATCAAATGAGTTCAATATTCTAAATGAAGTTTTCATTTAAATTGGATAATTTAGGTTGATAAATCTCATTTTATTAAGTCTAGGATTGATTCTTAGGAAATTGCGTAATTTATAGCTGTTTACCTTGGTCACTTGTTTACTAAACGAGGTGAATTACTTAGGTTTGGATTAAAATTATCAAAGCCATCAGCAATGATCTTCAGGGAAAAAATAAAATCTGCTTTATTGACGGAAGTCTACATCGCCCAAGCAATGGTTTTTCAGATCTGAGACACTTGGTAAAGGTGTGACTCCATGGTAATGTCATGGCTTTAGGAACGAAGAATATGAATCAAAGATGAATTTTCCTTTTTGTCAAACTGCAGATTAATTGAAAGTGCAGTTCAATACCAAATTCAAAAAAAAAAAAAACAAGTGCGGAAGTCAAAAAGGGGACATTCAATGGGAGAAGGGGTAAAAGTGGCATTTAAATTATATTTAATTATATAATTTAGTGTAATTAATGATTACCTTAATCCAAGTGCAACACCCTAATACGTCAGATATAATGGAACGAAGGGAGTATTTTCCTACCCAATCAATATCATAGTGCACAGACAAATAAAAAAAATAATTATTATGTGGTCCTATTTTTCTTTTGAGAATGAGAAATTATAAGCGGAGGAAGAAATTTTTTAAATAATTAATAAAAATCAAACTCTTATATAATTAAAGCCAAATATTAAGTCTTGTGGAGAAAAGAATAAGTGGCCGACAAGTATATTGTGGTGGGCTCTCCACTATAGTAAATAAATGTATGGTGTAGGACGTCTTCTACCTAAAGGTGATGTGCTGACTACTACCTAAACCTAGTGGCGGGCTCCCCACTATAGTAAATAAATGTATGGTGTGGGACGTCTTCTACCCAAACCTGATGTGCTGACTACTACCTAAACCTGGTGTGCTAGATCCCAACTTTTCCACACGCCATTTTTGATTTTATTCTTTTAACTTCACACGCTTTATTTTATGCCAAGCGGCAAGGCAACATGGAATGTTTCTTGTTTGAATAAAATAAAATAATGTCGGCCTCAGAATTCCCCTGAATCTGATGCTCTGGAGAAACTTTGCCCATTTCTTTTTCTTGACGTCACATTTTTCTTCGCAATCGCATGGGATTAGTTATGCATTGATCACGCCTAGTATTAATTTCCCTAATAGCACGGCAGCATCTAATTTTGCCGTGTAAAAGAAGGGGGCGAATTGTTGTCATCACAGAAATATTAAGGTAACTAATTTTTTATTTATTTTAGATAATATTTAAAAATATTTATTTATTTATTTATTTTAATTTATTAATTAAAAA